TCAAGTAATCAGTTGGAGTTAGATCGAGTAACTTCAATTTATAAATCAGAAAATATTTTGGAAAATTGAATTAATTTATGATTATTACAATGCATACATTATAAAAAAAGCATTAGAATAAAGATTTCCCGATTTTTAGTAGTTTTTATTATTATGAACCTTCGATCAATGTCCTAAAGTATTTAATGAAGCCGCACACCTTGGAAATAATGAAAATTTAATATTACAAGAAAATAAAATTGAAAACACAATAAAAATATGAAATACACCCTTAATAGCTTGGTTTAAGTTAAATAAAATTGATGATTTTGAAAAATCATTAGAGTGCGCTCATCTTTCTGAAAACTGTATTTTTAATAAGCACCTCAAGGTTTTAGAAAAAAAACGTGGAAAAATAATACAGTAGTAGCGAATTGAATATAATATCTCCTAGGGATCATAAAGAATTTTGTTTAAGTTACTGTTCAATAACTTAATAAAAAAACATCATTCAACGATCTAAAAATGTGCTTAGCTTTTCATAAAGCTAGCACGACTATAATTTTTTTCAGTAACGATAGCTTTTACGTCGTTTTCAATTTCAATAAATTATGACGGAAAATACCGAAATTATTTTACTATAATTTAAAGCACAAACAATAACAAAATAAAACCTTCAAAAATAAAGTTTACATATCAAAAATAACTTTAAATACTGTTTATTTATCATCTATATATTTTATAGCGTACAGAAAGTAAGTTATTTTAGTTTAAGTATTTGCTATGATGATAAGAAACTAACAAAATTCTGCCCACCGGGATAAGCTTGTGATCAGCTTACCCATCACAGTTGTAAGGTTAAGCTATATATGAGACTATATCATGGACTATGCTTAATAAAAATGTCAAATTGTTAAAATTTGAATATTACATGTAGATATAATATGCCCGATAAGACAACTATGTTCACAACATAGTTTATAACATAGTTTACAACACAATTGTAGACATGTTTATGATATTAGTTTTAAAAAATTTAATACACTAAAAATCTAATGATTACAAACAGCGGAAACAACAAATTACATATTTGATAACCTCGGTGTATTTGAATAAAAAATTTTTTAGTACTATTCAAAACTATAAAGTTAATCGATTTGCTTTATAGGCAGTGTGAAAATGATAAATTTTTGGGTACCTTGTTTTTACTTGTTAAAGCGTTTAAAGCAATTTTATTAAAAAAAAAAAAAAATTTATTTTTGTTGCATGCAACGTTGCAAACTTCAGAGTCATAGGTTCTTTANAAAAAACGAGTAAAAATCTAATTTTTTTACGTACACCAAAAAAAATTAAAGGAACGAAAAATTTCATAGTTAAAGGTATACCTTGGTATAAAAATTTTTTACTCGAGGTGCGTAATATATAACAACAATCGGAAGAAAATTATTTCATACTATCTGCAAAAAAAACGATAAATATTCTTCAAACATGGTCCTAACGGATCAGACAGCAACTATTTCCGTAAGACATTGATTTATAATTTCATTTCATAACATAAAAAAATTTTGTTAATGTCTTGAACTAGCATATTATCAGGATTGCTTACAAAAAGTATGACAAATCATAGGAGTTGTTTACTTGTGTTAGTTTTAAATGTACATATCATGTTTTAAAAGTTCAAACCATTCCCAAAAAATTTAGAAAAGTTGATATACTTATTTGGGATAAAGCTTCGCTGATTTTGAAAAAAACCTTAGAAATAGTTGATAAAACGTCAAGAGATGCATTTGATACTGTAACATATCTTCAAAATAAATTATTTAAAAAGAAGATTTTCTTTCAATCCTTCCAGTTAAAAGAAGAACAGTAACGAAAGAATTAGAATAAAAAAACTGTTAAATTATTACCAAAAATAAGATTTAATAAGCAATAAGATTTTATGAGAACAAAACGAGTAATCTTAACCTTGTTTTTGCATGCATAACGCAATGTATGGAAGTGTTGATGTATCAGATGATGAAAGCTTTGCTAGCTTAGTAGTTAGCGTTCTAGCCTCGTAGCCGAAAAAATTCAAGGAGTCATGGATTTGAATCCCATAAAAAATTATCAAGATTAATATCTTATCAAGAACAATAGAGATTAGGTACCTAGGGTACGTAAAAATCTTGCATATACGTGAAATTTAAATACTGCTACTATATCAGATGATAACAGTTGTTATTTAAATTTTTTGTAGGGGTTTAAAACTACGTTTGTGAAGTCTTGCGACTTTATAAACTCAAATTAAAAATAAAAACACTGAAAATGTTGATTCTTTATAATTTAATACCAAGAATCTTTGTTTAATTTAATGAAAAATTTGTAATGAAAATTTAAGTATACTTCATGCATAATATAATGGTACACGATCAAGAATTTCTAAATTGTTTAAGTATAACATATATTATAAGATAATTACAGGAGAAAATCTAGCACTACAGTTTTCATTCCAAGAATACCATTAAATACCGGAAACTTTCATATAGTATGTATTATTTTATGTAGATAACTGTTTTGACACGATATAACATTTGCTATGACTATAAACAAGTCTTAAGGTCAGAGTTCAGATGATGAGTTAAAATAGTGAGAAGGGATAATATTAATAATGATAATTTATGATAATAATTCAGATATTAATATTTTGTTTTAAGAGAAAGTGTTAATTCAAGTTTTGTATTTAAATTGATCTTGAACCGACGATTGTAACATATTTTTTTCTAGAAAAATTTGAACTTTAGTAAGACATAAAGTACATGGTGTTAAAACGTCTTTACATATAATTTTCATAATATTTTCACTCGTCAAATAAATGTCTGGACCAATTTAATGTGTTGAAAAAAAAAAAAAAATTGATTCAAAATGTTATTCTATAACAAGTACAAGTCGAAAAAAGTAAGAGACAGGCGTTCGTTTTAAATTAGATGTTTAATATAATAATTGTATGCTTAAGTTGATTGAACCAATTCTACAAAAATTGATTTTCTGGATCTAGTTAATAGTAGGGGCAGAAAAGTTATATTTTTCTGTGGTTTCATAGGGCTTTGTGAAATGAATAATAAAAATAAATCGTTTTGATAAGCTGATACTTCCGCATTATTATTTTATAATTTACATATATGTATATTAGTTTTATGTAAAGTAAATACATGAATAAAATAAAAATTACACAACTAGTTTAACTAACATTCACAAAAAAACTCAGAAAAGCAGCACTTTGTACATGGCCCATGATGAAAATAAATTGACTTGATACAGACAAATCAAAAAAAGTTGTATGAATGTATCCATAATGATATGGTCTATGCATGGTGGTGAGAGACCTAAGGATGTAGTAATGGAAAAAAAAATAATGCAGGAGCTTTGAGACAGACGGCGGGGATTATGGAACAGTCCATACGATCAAGGCAAAAATTGTTGTAAGTCATAATTTTGAGACGAAAAAAGTTTCCTACCTTGTTTGTGGGAAAAAGTGAAGGGCAGTGACATGCATCAGAGAGTCTGTAGAGTGTCGGCAGGTCACTGCGGGGGGTTATCTGAAATTTCACACATAAATACATATTGAATGTAGAATTATATATATGGGGAGAATCACGTTAACTGTCCCAGCGCCGCGGTGGACGGCCCGCGCGGGCGTCAAACACGACGTTTTCAACTCGTCGTTTCGGTGTCAAAACTTTGATAAAAAAATTATCTAAAAACATATTCTTACGTATTTTTTCTTCAGCTTTCCAGTGGTGGCATCAGTTTTTCGAAAAATTAACGTATTTAAACGACGAACGAGACGATGCGAGCCGCGGCGGCCGGGCCACGCACGGCAGCAGCGCGTCCGCCGTGTCGTCTGCTACGGTGAGTCTGTTTGGCTATATAATGTATAATGTAGTAGTGGCGATGTAAACAACAATCAGTTAACCAGGGTTTACAATGGATAAATAATAAATGTTTTGATAAAATTCATTCATATATACAATTTAATAATAAAGAAATTAATAATGATTAATATTGATTAAATATTAGATATTTACATAAATTAAGTAAAAAATAAAAACAAATTTGTTTTACTTCGTTCTCTTCTTCTTTTTAGGCATGGTAGTCGAAGTGACACTAGTTTTACGTTCTTTCAGTTTCGGAAAAATTTCATACCGATTACTCAAAGAAGTTTGACGTGATTCTCCCCATATATGGGTCGACTGTAATTTTTTTTTTTTTTATTTATCTCATTCTTTAATAGCATAAATGCCTTTAATACACCTAATAACTCATGAAATAACTTGGTTGAACCTAATTCAACGTTGGACCGTTTCTTCACGTGCCGTCAAGCAATGGAAGTTCTTATGGGTATTACGCGGTATTGTAAGTTCGAAATATCTGTCTTTTGACATAGGAGGACTTCCTACGATTATTTCGTATTAACAAAATTGTCAGTTATGCCTGGTTCATATACATTTTGATCTGCAGGTTTCAAAAAAATTTTAATTTCTTTTAAAAATCCTACTTGAGGTCCGGACGTTTTTCTAAACTTCACTTCGAAAGCATATCGTAAAATAAGCTTATAGATGTGATGCCTGCAAATAAAATAGGTATAAAAGCTCTTGTTCTTGTTTTTGTTCTACTATCGTGCATGCTCCACTAAAACGTCCGGTATTACTAGATGTGCTATCACAGCATAAAGCCTGCACGTTTTCAAGCAAACGCTAATCAGCTAATGCTTTATAAACTGCTTCTTTTTGATTTTTTTCAGAATTTGATTATATCAGTGAAATGCCTATTATTTGTTCTTTTGAGTGTACTGTTATGATAACAGACAATCTGTCTTTTATCTCTTTCCCAGGAAGTAATTTATTATCCCAATGGATAGTACTTGCTGCGTTAGAAAAAAGATTAGGGACTTGGCTTTTGATTGGTTAATACGTCTCTTTTCATAATTTTTGGTGAGAATCATGTATTAAAGTCGCATTTAAAATTAAATTATTAGTATCAACCTCAAATGCTTTTGCAGCAGCCATTAATATATGCACAGTATTTCTTTTGCTTCTTCTGCATGTATCGAGCGCTGATGCAAGTCTCAAAGTCATTACTAATTCAGTGCCTCTTCTTTTTACAGGTGGTATCGATTGAGATGGTTGTGAGTCGGACTCTGGTCTGATTTCTTCTTCTAGCTCAGATATAAAATAAAAAGAGCGAACATTTAAATTTGATAGTATTATACATACTATATAATCTTGGAATAAGCAGTTGAAGTTGTGTGAATTAATAATTCGTACAAAGTTTTACATCAAAAAAAAATTTTAATCACAATTTAAAAAATATTGAGTAAAAAACGGCAATGAATGTAAAAAAAAAAAAAAAATAGAAATCAATCACAAGCAATAATAATCTCAGATCAGTATTGAATAAAAATGCTAAACTTTCGAGGCTCATTCTGATCGCATATTGAGCTGTTGCATTGTTTTGCTTTGATCATCAAACTCGTCTTTATTTAGGAAGTGTTACTAGTAATCTGAATAGGCTAATAGTCATCGATATTCATTGGGTATGGCTATCTTCTAAGTGTCTCAACCACTGTGATTTTAGATGTATTACTGCAAAGCAATCCTAATGATAATAAATCCATTAGCAATTTTATGAAAAATTATTATTTAAAGTATTATTCATAATTTATATCAACTAAAAGATTTATCAAATAATAACTACTATTCTGATAATTATTAAAAATAGTAAATTACGTGACTAGAGCGAAAAGTGGCACTTTGTGCCCGCGGGTACACTTTCGGCCCATCGAGACTTTAGGCCCATGGGCAAAGCTTCCCCGACCAAAAAAATTTAAATCAACGTTCATTAAAAAAAAAAAAAAA